GTGCCATCGGAACGCCTCAGATAAGATCCGCATGCCAGCTGGAAAACATGGATTCCAGCGGGACGAATGGAGAGCACGCTTTCTTCGCGGTCAAAGAATTCGCAGAGGGCGAACGTGGATTCTCGTTTTTAACCCCGAGGGAAACCCTTGACCTTCGTTGAATTGAGAGAACGAACTCGCTACACGCCTTACCTTGTCCGCCATTGTATGTACGTGCCTCTTCCGGCGTGGAACAACTCCCCGACTCCGTTTTGCATGCCGTTGTCGAAGGTTAAAGGTAGAAGGAATGAAAGAAGAGGACTGCTCGACATTCGACGTACTCGCAATACAAGTATCGTTTGTCCTGTTCTGGGGCGTCATTCGCGTTCTAAAGACGAAGAAACAACCATACTGCCAAGACAGCTGACTGAACGAGAATTATTTCGTTTTGATATCGAGGAACTTCGGGGAGGAAGAGAGGGGAGGAAGAAAAAATGATAATCGAACAAAATATGTATGAGGTTTTAATTTTTGTTTTTCGTAAGGACTTAATACCGTTAGGTTCTTTCGATCATTTTCGATTCACTGATATTTTTCTAATGAAACGTCTTTTTTAGAAAAGCGTTTTGAATTTGAACAGAATATGAAAAAATTCTTATTGGTGCGACAGGTTTGACATTTCAATTTTATGTTAAACATCTTTTTAAAACACCTTAAGCTCTTTTCGTTTGGAAAATTAATAATAAGATTGAAACAGAATTTTGTTTTCTTCGATTTACGAAATGAGTAAAAATACTTTATAAAGTAGTCCAACTATTTGACTAGGAAATACGCTCGATAATTCTATCACTTCTCACAGATTAATAAGTCCATTTTTTTTTTTCAGAAATCTCCGCCAATTTCTTCACTGTGCGGTCCAACGAGTCTTTCGAAACAAAGAATAATCCGAAACGATCGATTCAACCACAAATCGCACTACACGACAGAACGATTCTGAAGCTCGGAAACACTCAGGAACAGCGCAACAATTTCCTTTGTGTTGCACCGAGCTGAGCCCAGCTGAAGCAAGGCTCCTTTTCTACGCTTTCCCGGGGCTTTCCTGGGGACCACCACAGCTGTGTCGCATTTTCTGCCATCTCGAGCCCTTTCGTGGCTGTTCCCTCGACCGTGTCACCACGTCGTTTCCAGGCGACCTTTCCAATCAACAGACACAGGTCGTCGTCTCTCGCGTGTGTAGATCCGGACCTCTGTAACGGAGTACTCGTGGCGAAGCACTTTCCGTTCGGCGAAATAATCGCGGCAAAAACCGGGCTTCTGTCGATCGACGGCCATCTCTCGCGAGACAGAGCAGAGAGAAGAGAGGACCCGTGTGTCGGCGAGAAAGGGGAGGGAAGAAAAAAGGACCCCGAGAAAGGATGAAAAGAAGGGGAACGAGAGGAGGCGGGCAAAGGGCGCGGACAGCAAAAACCGCGGACGTTACGTGCCTGTTCTTTACGATAGAAGCTCATTGCTCGTAGATTGCGATTTGCCACGGACTTAATGAAGCCACGCTACTGGCTTTTGCCGGCGAACGAGCTACGCCGATCCACGACTACGATTTTTCGATTCTCTTCGACCTTCCTGCACTTCTCGAATTTTTTATCGAATTCGATCCGTGGGTCTGTAATAGCGTTACTTTCGAAGAAATCAGAGAGGCAATGGTCATTTTTGGGGGGAAAATTCCACGACCGGGAGGATAGAGAAACGGTGTGCATGGTGATGAAAGATATACGAGATTTGAAAATGATTTGGGCGACGATTTAGTAATTGATGATTAAACTGGTTTGTTATGATTGGGGTTTCTTGTACGAAACGCTTTGAATTATTGCATTTGTAATAACAGGTGTAATAATGGCGTAACTGGAGCAATAATGTCCGTGGAGAGAAACTTGAGCGCCCAAAAGGGAATAGAAAAGTGATCTCAAAGAACCGCGTTAACTATCGCTTCATTCTTTGATTAAATTCGGCTGGAAATTACAAATTTGAAATTTTAATTCAATTTCAAACTACATATCTTCTTCCTAATATTTCTTTAATAAATAATAAACTTCACCAAACCATATGTTCAATGAACATATCAAAGAATCTACGTGAAAAGAAGACAGAACTGCATAAAACCTAAAAGGGACTTTATACGTTCGTTGAATGCAATAATATGTACTCGAGCTACCAAATATGGAGGTAAAAAACATTCGAAAGCACGTAGTAACAGTTAATTCCAACGCGTCACTGCGAAATCATCGAAGCGTCCAGTCTCATTTCCTTTTAAAATTTAGATGAAACGCGTGTCTGGCCGTTTCATGCTCACATTTATTTAATATCACGGATGCATAATTCGACGCGGCCCTTTCGATGATACGAAGCTACAGAGACACACAACACCATCGGTAACTATAGTAAAATATATCTTGCTCGTTTTTTTCCTCTCGCGTGCTTTTCCCGTCCTTTTTCACGCGGTTCTGCGTTTTCCCTTCTATTTTTTATTTTTGTTCCATTCTGTTTCGATTTTTTTTCGTATTTTTTTTTTTTTTTTTTTTTTTTTTTTTTTTTTTTTTTTTTTGAAATTACAATCAATTCTCGCGTTGAGAATTTTCA